AAAGCTTTTTTGAAATCAAAGAATTATAAATTGATTTGTTGTTATCTTTTGCATGATTCCAGTCCTCTATAATTTGAGTAATAGCATCCATTGTACTTCGGCCTGGAAGGAATCCGAACTGTTTGTTTGAGACCCATAAGTGCTTGGTGTGATGGACAATTAATTTGGTGATAATACGTTCAAGAACTTTAGACAATGTGGATGTAATGGCAATTGGATGATAGTCATTAGACGAGTGTGGGTTAGAAATTTTTGGAATCGGTGTTATGTTTGCTGATTTCCATAGGTCAGGTAGGTAACTGTTTTCTATGAGGCGGTTGAATAGGATGCAGAGCGATGGGGCAATTTCAAAGCGAGCAGATTTGAGTAAAAACGGAGATAGGTCATCTGGTCCTAAGGACCCTGGTTTGAGTTTGCTGAGTTGGTTGAGAATGTTATTATAAGTAAAAATTGGGGTAATAGGTGGGTTTGGCTCTCGGTTGATGAAGCATGAGAGTTAGGTTGTTTATTACCAATCCAACACTTTGAAAGTGATCATTTAATTGGTTTGCTAGTGTCGCAGAGATAGGGGTGGTGATTTGACCTTTATCAGCAAGACTAATTTCACGCCAAAAATCTGTTTGAAACGCCTGTTATAGATTCTCTTTCTTTTGGTAATCAGTTTACTAATTTGATTTGCAAGCAATTTCCGCTCTTTGTAGTACCCGGAAAAAAAGAGTTTTATAAGGCATTGAATAAGTGGTGTCATCCAAGGTTTAGGGTTAACAAGCGTTGTTAATTTTAGAGGTTGGCAGAAGTCTTGAGCAGAGAGTATAGAATAATAAAAGTTGTTGCAAACAACTTGTATTTCATACAGTGAATCAACTAAGATTTCAATATTGGTAGATCGTATCAGTGCAACAGTGTCAGCAATTCTACCTGACCGGTAAGCAATCTTGTGGGGAACTGGGCGAGTAGATATAGAGATTTAGAGGAGGTTGACTAACTACGACAAGGTGATCTGAATTACCAAAACTAGGAAGGATATACGACACATAGCATTTAGGAGCATTACTCAAGATGATGTCAAGAATAGATGTTTTTCTGATAGGGTGTGCATTAAGATGAATGAGTTGGTGAGAATGACAAACAAAGTCAGTAGAGCAGCCATTTAGATCCCCAGCAAGAAATATTAGTGGTTTGTTGCCCATTGTGCAACGAATTATGGCTGGTTCAATGAGTTTTGCAAGTTGATAAGATGCATTACGCTGCTCACTTTTAGACCAAACCAGGATATAGACACATATAACTAGACAGGAAGAGTATCCTTGGGGTAGTAGCTTTGGTAGCCTTGCTTTTATATATATATATATATATTATATATATATATATATATATATATATATATATATATATATATATATATATATATATATATATATATATATATATATATATATATATATATATATATATATATATATATATATATATTGAATTAATGCATTTGTGAAGAGCGCGTGTATTTAAATTTGATATATAGAATTATTTTAACATGACAATACTTATCCTCACATCTGTTACTTGAATATGTTGCCATTTGATTAAAAGTGGACAAACTAGACAATATTTTTGTTTTTTAGTACAAGTTTGAAACATTTTGATAAAAAGTTGTAAGAGTTTTTTGACCACATTTTTAACAAATGTTAAACTTTGTTATTTATTATATAGATTATTTTATTCTCTATACAATGATGCAAAAAATTTCATTAAAAAAAATATTTTGTTTCCAAAAATAGGCATTTACTCTCTAAGACGCCATTGAGCCAGTTTTGAAAAAAATGAATGGGGCACCTTTGAATCATTGTAATTCATTCTTTCAACTTCCCACACTTTATTGCTTCATTATTTACGGACTGAGTTTAGTTTATTTAATGATAAAAATGGTTCGAAATTATAAAAAAAGAGAGTGACTGAAGTCATAGAGGAAGATGTGAATAATGCTGTTCTCCAAGCTGCAAATGGATTAATGAAGCCAAAAGCAGCTAAAACCTATAAAATAAAACTGTAATACTTTACATTTTAGAATAAAGAAGTATAAAAATTCATTATCCAATACCAAGTTAGGTTTGACAAGTAAATATACTGTCGCACAAGTATTTAATGAAGATGAGGAAATAATGTTGAAAGACTATCTAATAAAAAGCTCTAATATGAACTATGGGTTGACATATAAACAAGCACAGGAGTTAGCATTTCATTATGCAATGAAACTTTGCAAATGTCCAATTAAATGGATGGAAAATAAACAAGTTGGTATAGAGTGGTTGAAAGGCTTCATAAAACGCCACCAAGAACTTTCACTTTGAAAACCTGAAAATACGAGTTTGTCTCGCTCAACAAGTTTTAATGAGCACAATGTAAATCAGTTTTTTGATAACTATGAAAAAGTATTAAAAAAACATCATTTCACTCCTGATAGAATTTATAATATCAATGAAACCAACATAATGACAGTAGTACAAGCACCCCATGTTATAGCATCACATGGAACAAAACAAGTTGGACAGTGTGTATCTGCTGAACGTGGACAACTAATTACTATGTGTCGTATAGGAAATGCCATAGGAAATTTCATTCCACCTGTCTTCATATTTTCAAGAGCACAGTTTCATGACACCAAGTTAAAAGGAGAACCTCCTGGTTGTATTGGTTATGCAAACAGTCCAAAAAGTGGCTGGATGACAGAGCCACTGTTTTTAAAGGTTCTAGAACATATAAAAAAACTAGTCAGATGTTCGAAAGAGGATCCTGTTTTACTCTTAATTGATAATCATGAAAGCCATTGTACATTAGATGCCATTAATTATTGTTTTGAGAATGGAATGGTGGTTTTAACATTTCCTCCTCACTGCACTCACAGAATGCAACCTTTGGATGTGGCTGTTAATGGTCCTTTCAAGCAAAAGCTGTCTATATCTCAGAACGACTGGCTTGTACGCAATCCGGGGAAAACAATAACAATACACGATTTAGTTGGCATAGTGACACCAGCATATAATACAACATATATTGCCAGGAATATTGTTCCAGGTTTTTCTACACCTGGGATATATCCTTTTTCACGCCTTGCTTTCTGAAATGACAACTTTCATAGTACTGAAGTGACTAATCGTCCATTGACAGAAACATTCAGTAAAGCTACTTCTGATAATTCAAATTCTAAATAAGCCTGAAGTTCATAGTTATGCAAAAAGAAGATTTTAAAGTGGATTATAAGAATTATGAGCAAACAAATATAAGTAATGCCTTACAATCACAGCACACAATAACACCTGAAACTGTAAGACCATATCCA